TCTGCCAGACCGCAACAGCTTCCCCGATTCCATAGGTAAATAAAAGATGCAGAATTGTGAGTTAGGCAAATTGGTGAGTGTTCACCGTAGAATGTTTTACAAAGGAACGAGTTAGAAGCAGTCAGAGAGGGTCACATCGCTGATTTCACAACTGAAATTTATTTGGAAAAGGAAAGAACATATATAGAAAATATTGACTCATCAAAACTATGCACATGCACACATGTGTTACAACACAGAATGATTCATGTCTTCTCTATGACCTTATGTTCTTCATCTAGACGAGTGTTACATGAAATACTTAGGCACTTGTTGTTAGATCTAATGAAAAATGCTTCGGCTACTTCACACATGCGCTAATCAACATGTCAATATTTGATATTTGTTTTCTACAAGTGGGGCACACACAGGGCTGGGTAGTATCGCAATAGTATTTAAGAGATACTTTTGAGTGCCTGTATTGTTGTATCGAGGCACTTTTAAAAAATGTATTTGTATCTCAGTAGTGAAATACTTTTACGGTGTATCGCATGTATCGCGATACTATCCAGGACACGGGTATCTTGTTTTTTTTTTTTTTTTCGTAAATGAGCTGAGACGTGTTGACAATGGGGAAAAAAATTTCTGCTGTGACCTTGGCAGTCCACGGCAAGATATGCACCCACCATTTCTACATTTCTGCTGAGGGCGAAACTGACTCCTACCTTCTTGAAAGCGAGCTAGTTGCTTTGCTACCCGCATCCCATTGTGCTCCTTCAGGCAGAACTGGAATGTGTTTGAATGATGGCCTGCTTCAGCGTGACAACAATGTTATACTGCTATATTGAATTCCAGCGCAGATATTTTCATTGTGAGGAGTGTTGTATACTGCACAATGGGCGCCATTTTTTAAATGTATTTCCTCATGCCAACTGAACGAGTAGTGTTTGTTTTTCTCGTTTTTTTTTCCACTTTTCTTTTGCAGCGCCCATTTGAAAAACTGGAGCTTATTGCGGAAGCCACAAACCACCCAAAGAGAATTTGGTGCCGTGTGCCATCTACGATACTTCTTTCTGCAGAGCATTTCTGAAAAACACCAGCATGGCCAAACAGCAATTCGAAAGAGGTCTTTTTGAGTTTTCTTTCGCATTCTTTGTTTTGTCCGTTCTTAATTCTTTCTGCCTTTTCTAAGATGTTTCTAGAAAACACTAAACCTTCAACTGGAAGTTCGTTTGTTTATGGTTCCAGCACTTTGCTTGAACTATGCTCCTTCTAGCATAACTAATAGTGTTGCTGTTGAGTTCCGGATTTCAGTGTACAATGCGTGTGACTGATGCTCTCATATGGCATAGTTTTTTATTGCAACTGATATCTGTAAGTATGTGGTTATTAACAATTATGTGCAGTGTAAGCATCCTTTGTAATGCCTTAATGACACTCGGAGAATGGCAAAAATATAATAAATCAATTTCATTTGCAAGTTTCAATGTGCTGCACATTTTAAATATTATGCTGCACATAACAAATGTTTGTATGGAGTATAACTATCCCCGACATAGACAAAAGTATTTTAGTATATGTATTCTGGAATACTTTTTTGTCTTTTTGCAAACGTATCTCTGAAATATCCTGTCACATGAATTGCAAATTTATCTCAGTATCTGTTTTTTATGCTTCCAAACCACGCATTTCGATATCTGCATTCCAGAATACTTTTTCGGGCATCTCTGCCCAGCCCTGAGAACACATCCACATGGCCTACAACGAGCTGCCAAATTAGACGTGATTTTAGCATCTGATAGCATTAGCCCATGCTCTCTTAAGCACACGTTTATGTAATGCCACATTTCACCTAAATATTCGCATCTGCAAGACAGTGGAATCCCATAAAGCATGCCAGTAGTGCAAGGAGCATATCTGTGGACATGACTGGAGACACATTTGTTCCCATTCCCTGGCTGCTGACACAATGCTCTATCTACTAAAGTACACACATTATGTACTTTATTACGTGCTGAGAATGACATGTTTATGCAGAACGAGCATCAACATTTTTCAAACCATGTGCATTCCTGTGTATGTATGGGATAACTGCCTGCCTTTTTTTCTTGCTAATTTCTAGTGCAATAGAATCACAATGATAAAACTTCTCGATTTTTTAAATAAGTTTTTCCGACAAGGAGCAAATCACGTCACTCGGAAAGCCAGAATTTGCAAGGCAAGCAACTTGTGCATCAAATGCATGCGCCATAAGGTGCTCGCGTAACTTCTGAAGAGCGGCACCCAGCACAGTTGACACAATGGCTCCCTGTATGGTTTTGAGTAGCCAGAATTAAAATTCAGAATTGGTTTTATGAATCTAGGTAGGTATTGCTATATATGTGATCTTTGACGAAAGCCTGTCTTAAATCGAGAAACTGTAGCTCATCAATTTTTTGAAACTCCAAAGTGAAACGCTGACATTTCGTTTTCCTTAACATCTTTTTTTATATTAGCAACCAGTAAAGAGTAATTGTTAATGTCCAGTAAAACTAAGAAGTCATGGACATATCAAACAGCGTGTGATGATAACCAATTCAAATGCTTTTGCAGCTGCCCGTCTACATACCCAAGAAAAATATAACTAATTACAGGTATATTCATGATTCAATGCAGATACCAGATTTTTGGACGAAATTATTTTCCTTACAAGACACAACGGTAGAATTTAGGTGGCCTGCATGAGCTCTAAAAACGACGCAATAGAGATGCCACGCTGGCACTGAAACAACAACTCATCATTATCTTCTCTCATGCACTGCTTTATACACTTCAAATCTTCACATTGGGGCAAACAATAATATAATTCTTTTACGTCTATACCGAATGCATTACGGCACAAAGAAGGGTGTTCACTTTGTGATAAGATGATAGATTCTGAGTTAGAAATTCTTAGCGGATCACAAGTCTTCAAACGCTCCAAATTTCTTTGAATATACTCTGAAACATTCATTTACCAAGTGTCTTTTTTTGAAACAACAGCTCTTAGTGGCAACATGAATCTTCACTGAAATAAAAAAAAAAACTGACAGTTTTTGCCTTTTTGCTTTTTTCACACTTGCCGCTACGCGTTCCCCATTAAGCGTTAGTAACAGGGCATAAACTTATTCATTCAGTCACCCGCTTTTTGCTTCAACACTTTTTTTTATTAATATATACCCTAAAGGCCCATTCAGGCATTACACAGGGGGTTTTAGTTATACAATAAATTTGCAAATCATAACATTGCCATTATAAAATTAAAGTGGTAAACAATGTAAAATACAGTTCCATAGACAAAGATGCAAAAGGAAAAAAAAATTGTGGCAGGAATGAAAACTCAATAAGAGAGACACAGCTATAGTGCAAAAAAATATATGTACAGAAAATTGCCATGAAAAAAATTGCCCCCATCCACATATTTGACCAAAAATGTCGTCGAAAGACTATTGTATTTCGCCTGAAAAGAGTGAATAGACAGAAATATTTATTTGATGTTTTGCACGAGAAAACTGGTGAATGGGATCCTGGAGGTGTTGCGTGAGACATGAGTGCCATCTGGCGGTAATTTCATAAAACGAAAGGATAGCCATTGTTATAGCGAGCACGCAGCATGCGTGCAATCTTGAAGGCCACATTTTGTAGATTTCAAGACAGGTAGCAGCACAGTATCGTCTTAGCAAAGCGTAGGAGACTCGCCTTTCCATGCGAAGCGTCGCATTGTCAGCTGCAGTGCTTAGAATTACTTCTTTATACCTTTTCTAGTACAAATAAACACAGTGCACAATATCGTTGTGTTGATATTGTGCCTCAAATATGCTCAATATTTGCTTTTTATTGACAATCGTACAAGTATGAACGCAGAAACTTGAGCAATACTGGTGGATGCTGTGGATGCGGTCGTACTTGAGCCTTTTTGCTGATAGACAGACCAAAATTTTTGCATTGGAGTATCCCAAGCAAGACTATCACCTTTAAGGAGAAAATATATTTACAATGAAAGAAGAGTAAAAATAAGCGCATACATGCACTTACAAACTCACACAGATAAGTAAGTCATATGTCCAAGAAAATATTGTATTGGTTTACAAAGGCGGCATGATCAATGAATCAAGCGATGTCGCCCGGCAGTGTGTTCCAGTGATGTGTGCTTCGAAGTAACGGTGAGTGTTGATACATAATTGTGCGTGCCAAAAAAGGGTGTATTTTGAATTGGTGATCAATTTGTTTCAAAATATTATGAGGTGTGTTTGTACAAGCTTCATGAAGGCACATTTACTATGATAAAATGTACGAAAATGCAACAACAGTGACGACAGTCTGCGTTTTTCAAGAAGGGGTAATGAAAGTGAATGTGTAATATCTGTAGTGCTGCAGTTATGAGAATACTACTTGGTGATAAATTCTGCTGCTTCATTTTATTTTAATTCTAGTTAATCGATGAGATATGATTGACGTGGGTTCTAGATGATGGATGCATATTCTATCTTTGAACGGACAAGTGTAGTGTATGCTAGCATTTTAGAGGTATAGTTCACCAAGTAAAGGTTTCTTTTAATAAATCCAAGTTCTTTTGACACCTCACTAGTTATGATATCGATGCACTTATTCTAAGGCAGGTCAGAAGATAAATGAATTCCAAGATACTTAAATAGGGATACTTTTTCAAAGGGGAGAGCTTGAATTTCATATTGACTCATTTCTATTTTATGTGCTCTTGTAAACGTCATGGCCTTCGTTTGGAAGTGTTAATTTGCCATGGTGACACTAAAATGCGAGTTTATTAGGGTCCAACTATAATGACTTGTTAGCTTGGGTGCTGTCAATTTTTCTATAAATGATGTAGTTATATGTAAATAATTTGGTAGTAGATGACAAACCATGTCCAATGTCGTTGATGTAAATGAGAAACAAAACTGGTCCCATGATTGATCCCTGGGGAACACCATACTTTGCATGTGAAAGTGAAGATGCATGTCCATTCACATAAATTGATTGGCTGCAGTTGCTCAGAAAATGATTTATTCAGCTTTTTTCCAAACCAGTGACTACCTTATCATTATACATAGAGCCATCTAGAGTTGAAAAGAAGCCTTCCTTGTCAGCAACCAACACATGCAACTTATCTTCCAGATGCGTCTCAGACAGCATGAACACCGTGGTGAGGAGTGACCAGGCTATGTACAACAAAGACAAGCTGAAAAAGCCATTAGGCTTTTTTTGTGAAGATAAGTTGCGTGTTTTGGTTACCTTCATTTACGTACTCTTCTATGAACATAATGGTAAAAAATACTCATGGATTTAATATCACCATCTCAAGGAAATGAAATGAGAAGAGAGTGTGCTACTCTTGAAATATCAGCAATAAGTGCATAGCGGAGGACGTTTGCAGCTGCATCGCCAATAATAATAATAATAGCAGTAATATTATACAAGGCAAGACATAGCCCAGCAAACCTCTTGTGATGGCAGTTCTAACATAAGCACCAAACTAAAAGGCCTTCAAGCCAAGCCGAATTTGTGGCCACGACAAATATGCACAAATTTACCGATGTGAGAAATGCTGTGCTTGGAAAGTCAGATATGGTATGTGATATGTAGAAGGAACATACATCAAAATAGTGCATGTACCAACATGGAAGCTAAGGAATGCTTTAGTCAATGAGAAGAATAAGCTGCCGAGCCGAACTTTCTGTAGTCTTCTTTACACTGTAGCCTGCCACGAGTGTGACAACATGTCAGTCTGTGAGACCTGTGATTTCAATGAAAGAGTTAAACAACACAACAGTTCAAAATGAAGTCACCAAATCATGGGTGGCCTTGAATGCCCTCGCTGAACATGTGGAATATACAGGCTTTCAAATTGACTGGTCAAGCAACCGTGTTCTGGTCGAAGAAAACAAGCTTGCATCATGCCAGCACCTGGAATCCCTGCACATTCACACAGCTGCACTTATCCTCAATAAGATTTATGGAACGCTGACCGTATACTTTTGGTGCTTACATCATGCACCTAGTCATTCTTAAATACGATGTACCTTTCTTATGGCTGTCATTCAGAACAATATCAGGTGCCCAAACATCAGTAAACTTTGTGTTATTTTGGTCGGTGTATCCTTTTGTTTGTACACTAAGAAGAAACAGTTATGCATTGCCTTTTTTTAGGCCTCTTCTAGCTGTTCACTGTAGTTGCAGTTGAAGGAGTGACTTTTTGAGTATTGATCAAGGGTAATGCTTATTTTTGTGATGGTGGCACAGACTGCCACCAGTTTCCATGAATTAGCCAGGTTTTACCAAAGTTCCTCCAGTTTTCCAGCAAGGCCCCAATTCCTCGACTTTCCCAGGTTGGTAGACACCCTGCACAAACAAAGATAGATGGCAGTTAACTCGCGTCCTGTTTCCTGTATTATGCAAGTGTCATTCTGCACTTTATTACCTTAGAAGTACTTGTTGCTGGGCAGGTTGGTATAACATTATTAGGGAAAATTCTAGACGATGCGAATGTGTGGTGCAGTGTAAATATTTTCTATAGTTCAGCTGCGACCGATGCTCTTTTTCTGTGTTTTTTCATTTTTCCAGTGGTGCTTAGGCATATATAATTTTCCCCCTTAGCTTAATTACCTCCCTGAAGCTATGCATAATCTTGCCCATTAACAACCATTGTTAAACTATTGTATGTGGCATTGTTGATGCAAAATGACTTTAGAGCATATGCTAAAGCTCCTGCAGGATCACCGGCTGAATGTGACAACCAGTTCCTTATTTATAGGACCCGCAGTATTGACATTTTCAATATATCTGTTCGCACAGTGCTTCATTGGAGTCATGCAAGCTTAAAATATGGTGCTCCCACGTAGAAATTTTTCTTCCTGTGCTGTGACCAACGGGAAAACTATGTGGACAATAATGAAAAGAGATCACAACTAGGCTTAGCTGTGTGAAGTCTGCCTCAATAAAAATGTAATAAATTAATGCAAGTGTGCTTATATCACCATGGTGTTGCCAGTTTATTACTACATTTGATATGAATCTCTGCTCGCTCCACCATGGTGTTCCTAAGGGTGTACACAGTCTTACCTCTGAGACAGCATTGCCAGAACTAATTTCACTGTCACAATCTTGAACAGGTGTGCAACAAGCATGCGCCAGTGCAGAGAACACAAGAGAAGTGGTCACTGCTTGCATGTTCAAAGTCGTATGCACGCACACCGGACTATGATTTTGCAGTGTCTTACATTTTGAGTGGAGTATACATCGTGATGGCTGGAGCAGTCTCTGTGGTCACCAGCTAGACAATCACAATGTGCATATTGTTGCTTGAGACAACTGTTTAGGACAAAAAAAAGGACCGTAGAAAAAAAATATTTTTAGGCTAATGTAAGGGCTTGTGGTGAGGAGACTCTCAAAAGGTATATTATGTGTCATCTTGCAATAGAGAAGCAACATTTATACCTAGTTTATGTTAGTAGGAGCCTGCTAAACATTGGCCATACAAGCTTGTGGCTAGAGAAGGATGATGTCCAGAAGATGCCCTCCTGAATTGTTAACCTGCACCGCCCTCCCTTGCCCTTCTTGGTGCACTGGAATTTTTGCCCTATAGGTACTAATTCCTTCAGTGGGTACTCCAGAAGGCCTTCTGAATAAGCTCACTCTTACCACCTGCTTTACCCAAGGGCAAATCCTACTGTTGGAACTTGTTTGCTTGGCAGAAATTTTTAACAGGAAAAGAAGCTACAGCATTGCAAGATTACTATGATGTTATGTACACAGACCTCCCACATACAACTCACTAAAATTTCACCAATTACCTCTATGGTGAGCCTGATTATGCCTTAAGACAGCTTGTAAGTTTCTTGATCTTATACTTTTTAATTAGTACATGAACCTTGAAAAAACAAGATCGTCATGTGCAGTGCATAAAACCAGTGCTTATGAAGTGCAATGATGCCATCGAAAGCATCAGCAAAAGTAAATTCACCCTGCTAGAAAGCAAATTCTGCGTGAAGCCTGTAAATGTACTGTTAACAAAGTCTTCTCGACAACTTCATTACTTCTACTTCTGCAATTTTCATAATCCTGTCTCTTCATACCTTGCTGTCAACCCAATAATTATTGACCTATGAGGTGTAAAACGTTCGACTCATGCGACCATGCTCATTTAACATACCTGCAAGCCTCAGAGCTAACATAATAAAATTGAAGACATTAATAAATTAATGCTCTCTGCTACTCACCCCTTCAAAAAAAATTTTTAGCATCCCCTTCAAACCTGTTTTTTTAAAGACTCAACGGGCACAGTGACATGACTTATGAAAGGCATATCCGGAGCTTGTGGTGCAACTAAAATCTTTTTGGAGCAGCATAAAAGCCGCCTGAAGCTTAAGCTAGAGCTGTTGCACCACATGTTACACGGAACTAGTTCATGAACATATGTATGCATGTTCACTTGGACTTCTGCTCCAAATAAACGTAGGCTTTTTGCTTTTTTGCAGACATTCCCAATTTATATAAAGCTACCTAGCGTTTTCCGGGAATTCACATAGCACTTGTAAATGACTCTGGCTTTCAGTGATAGTTTAGCTACAATACTGAATCACGGACTGGTAAGACTACTTATGCATTGTATTTACTTTCCAAAAAAAAAAAAAGAGTCTGATTATATTAATGCTTTTATTATTACAATATAATCGTTCAATCTGTAGAGAAGTGGTTGCTGTCATCGTTTAAGTACAGAATTGTTAGGTCCCTTATTATTGAGCGCTTCACAAAAAAAGGGTTTTGTAACTGGTCCTTACTGCCAATTATTTATTATGGCTCGACAAAATTTAGAGTTATGGGGGAGTAAGTAGTTACACTTGGCAAACTGTTTGACATGTACAGTCGTCGCGGTCGAGAAGCCCAGCCGAGACATACCGGAATAGTGGAACACCATGCCTTCTAGGAGAAGTAAAAGTGATTGTACAGCATGCGGTACTGCTGATAAAGTTTGCCCACTGTATGGACTTAAAACTTAACCACCTTGTATGAAATATTTTGAAAATAAACTTTAACTAATAGGACCACAAATAAAAAAAATAACTAAGTGGTCAGTTCTATATGCGGGTACTAAATTACTGTATTTTAATACAGTAAAGCAAGACTGTTCTCCAAGCACAACTAGCTCATTATTACTTTTATCTGACAGTAACCACAACAGTTAGAAACTATTTGGCTGAAGTCACGTGGTAACTTTTGTAGTATAAGCGGGTTCAAATTGTTAAGAAAGTTGGTGCCCAGCAACAATTTCAACTACATTGCACGTTCATGTCCGCTGTGATAACATCTTCAAATCGCAGGGATAACGTAAGGATTTCAAGCGTATGCTATATACTTGCTCCCTGAGAAAACACAACAACGAAGAGTGCACGCATGCTTGACACAAATAATGAAATTTATGAAAAAGATGTAGCAGGTTTCGTATCTTGGTACAGATCCCTACAGGCACTTACCTAATTCCCACCCAATTTTTCCAACAAGCAGCCCATGTAAAACGTTCGAATGCTCTATTATGTCGGGTCATAACCAGTTTCCTCTAACCACCTTGCACTTAGTTCTGGCACGACATACGTTTCAAAGATCTATTTCTTGCAAACTGTGTAAGTAATTGTAGACCATTCTTCAACAGTTATTTTTGTGCTTACTCGATAGGAAAACATGAGCTACAAATTTTCTAAGTTTCTAAAATATGAATAATAATTGAATTGTGAATGGTAATCTACACCCAGCCTTAGCATATTCTCACGGGGTCGTGACGTGGCCGAAGACAGGAGACTTCGTGTTGGGATTTAACTGCTTATTTGGGCGAACCTGTGCCCGGTAAACGGAAAGTCCAATTACAGCAGTAGTCTTGCACAGATAGTAGTCTCGGACTGATAGCGGCGAACGGAGCGTCGGCCTTCGATCAACAACTGACAAGCGGCGAAGCGCGTCGGTATTTATACTCTTGCTGTCGAATGTTCTAGCGTTATCGCTGGCGGTGGCGTAGGTTCCAGAACAATCTGTACCGTTCGCACAGTGGGCGTGATCTTATCGAAATGATCTACTACAGTCCGGAACCTTCTCGAAAACTGCAGGCTCGGTTTGCGCTGAGAATCGTGTGGTGTTTTGGGACGATAACAAAAACTTGGGAAAGGGAACGTGGCATTGCCCCCCTCTGAAAAAAAGGCATCGTCCCGATGCTTTAACTAAAGATGAAGGTACAATATTAATGCAAGAAAGTATGATGAATAAATTACAATACAACAATAATACAAAAAATAACACTGTTTCAGTTTGTTAACGTGCATGAAACGGCTTGAGGCGCGCGACATGTACGACTTCAGGTCGCGATCGGCGTCGTTGAGAGTTCGTGATGCCGTCGGGGACAACCTCGTAATCAAGTGGGCCGAGACGTCGAACCACCCTGTACGGTCCGAAGTACCGTCGCAGAAGCTTTTCACTTAGTCCACGTCGGCGTATCGGCGTCCACACCCAAACACGTTCACCGGGCTGGTATTCCACGAAGCGTCGTCGAAGGTTGTAACGGTGGCTGTCGGTCGTCTGTTGATTCTTGATACGGAGACGCGCAAGTTGTCGGGCTTTTTCGGCGCGTTGAAGGTACTCGATCACATCGAGGTTTTCTTCGTCGGTGACGTTGGGTAACATGGCATCGAGCGTCGTTGCCGGGATCCTTCCGTAAACCAATTTGTATGGAGATATCTGCGTTGTCTACTGCACCGCCGTGTTGTGTGCGAAGGTCACATACGGAAGAATGGCGTCCCACGTTTTGTGTTCGACATCGACGTACATTGACAGCATGTCGGCGATCGTCTTGTTAAGCCGCTCGGTGAGGCCGTTGGTCTGTGGGTGGTACGCTGTCGTCCGGCGGTGGTTTGGTTGGCTGTATGCCAAGATCGCTTGAGTTAAGTCGGCAGTGAATGCCGTTCCTCTGTCGGTGATAAGGACCACCGGGGCGCCGTGACGTAGGACGATATTTTCGACAAAGAACTTAGCTACCTCGGATGCATTGCCTTTTGGCAGGGCTTTTGTCTCGGTGTAGCGGGTGAGGTAGTCGGTAGCTACGACGATCCACTTGTTTCCGAAAGCCGACGTCGGGAACAGCCCCAGTAGGTCCATACCAATCTGCTGGAAAGGTCGGCAAGGTAGATCAATTGGCTGCAGAAGTCCCGCTGGCCTTGTCGGCGGTGTCTTGCGTCGCTGACAGTCCCGGAATGTTCTCACATAATGAGTGACGTCGGCGGTAAGATGCGGCCAGTAGTACCTTTCTTGTACCCTCACGAGCGTGCGAGAAACACCGAGGTGCCCTGCCGTCAGATCGT